GTTAAAGGGGGAGGAGTTAAAGGGGGAGGAGTTAAAGGGGGAGGAGTTAAAGGGGGAGGGTGAAGAACAAATTAAGTAAGTATGGTACACATGAATGAAATTCTCAAAAATGTTTAAGTTGGAAATGATAATTACTTTTTGTAAAAGATTAACATATGAGGAAAGGAAGACTGGACATCTTTCTTTACCTGGACTTCATCTAAGGAACATGGATTGTACAAAAGCACCCAAGCAATATGCACGGTAGAGATGGGGATTCTGTGGGTGTTATGGAGAGCTGTACCCAGTGTGGCCACGTGTTTTTAGACTCTCTCCTCAGCTCATCAGCACACATTCATTCTTAGGAGTGTTTTTCCTTCCTAAGAAGCTATTTCTGTTCCCATTTTTAAGCACGTATTTCTGGTTTAGTCCCTTTTCCCTCACGAGAGTGTGGAACTGGCTGTCCTCTGCATTCAGATTCATGGCTCAGCACTCCTCAGCTATTTCCTTGACATGCCCAGCTTTCTCGCTGTTTCTAGGAATTCTGTGGTGAACTGAAAAAGCTATTTTTTCTCCATCTCCTCTCCTCATGGTGGCTTTCAGGATAGTCTGCTTTTATATATGTTGTTTTCTCTCAAAATCTATTGAAATTGTCCTTAAGTTTTCTTTTCAGATGGTTTTGAAATTGTCTTTCTAATGGGACTAATAACACTCATAGGGAAATTCACCTCCCTAGTACAGTGTTAAAAAGACTGCTCTGTCACCTAGGCCTCCTTGAAGCCTCCAGGAGCAGGTTTTGGTACTGGCTGCAAGTACCTGTGAAGCACGGTGCACCGACCACACAGATGTAGAAGGCTGTATCCTCCAGCTGGGCGGCTGTGATATGCAGGGTGCTGTTCTTAACATCTGCATCCAGAATTGCTGAGTATCTTCCATTTGACTTTTTGTTTTCTATGTAAGTCATGAGTGCCAGGGACACAATACCTCTGCCTGTGTCTTGTCTGTACCACCTTAAGTTGTTAGCAGGGCTCACAGTGTAATTGCAATGAAGGATGCAGTTCTCTCCTTGCAGGACAACCAGGGACTTGGGACTCTGCTCCACTTGGGTCTTGCCAGCAGCCCCTATTCATAAAACAGTGTGAAATTTCAGAAATCAATCATCCATGCTTAGTTCTTGTAGGTTGTGTCCTTTATTCTCTATGTGAATCTTGGATGATCTAGAAATACGCATATTTTGCTTCCTCTACCTATCCCAAGGAATTACATCTTTGCCTAAATCCTAAGAAAATTTTCTATGATGTCCTATGTTCCCCCGCTAAAACCTCCATTAACTTACACTGAAAATACAGCCATAAAACAACCCAGCAGGCACACAGATGCATCTCCATTGTTGTTCTTTAGAAGTCTGCCCCCAAAGCTGCTGCCTATTTCATTAGCTCTTTCTTGTAACACACAGGAACTCTCAGGCAATAAGGCCAGCCAATCAAAGACCTGATACACACATCAGCTTCTGACGACAGGACCAGTGCAAGCACTGCCATCTTGGGGTCAGAGCTGGACTTGCTCAACCTTTGCCTAAACGTTTGTCATTCCTTTTCACTGCTGGCAGTGTGATACAGGATATAAATCCTCACGTATGCATAGAGACATGGTAGAGTGTCAACTAGAAGCTATTTTAAGACCTCAACTCAATTTTGGATCTCAATAGGACGTTAGATATGATAGGTAATATTTACTTTCCACTTCTGAAAGGATAGCCTTAATGTTTTTTCAAAGTTTGAATATAAATGACTCATGTTAGGGGGCTAATGATAATGACTAGACTGAACTTGGTCTGAACATAAAATATAAATTCCTTTAGAATGTGACTTTTTTTCTGTTTGATTTGCTACTGTGTTAAAATAAATTTTGTTAAAGAAAAGGATACATTAAATTTTGTTTAAAAATAAGTATTTTAATTAATTCTTTGACAACTTCATGTTTAAATACAATATATTTTTGAGTGAATTAAATATTATTCTTATAAAAATGATAGGATTTTTAATCATCCATTGTTAGTTCAAAAATACTTTTCAAGACCCATTGTTGTCAAATATCATCATAAATGCTAAGGATCAGCAGTGCTTGTGCTTCTGAATTGCACACGAGTGGAGGAAAAGTCAAGCGTCTAACACAGGTACTGACAAGTGGTAAGTGTTGAAAATCTGAAAATTCCTTCCTTAATGCTTCTCATTTCTCAGAGCAATTGAAGCCAGTGAAAATGTGGAAGTTGTTTAGATAAGTGAGGATTTACTGTACTTCTGAGATCAATGCATAGAAATGGAGAAAACAAAAGAAGGAAAATATATCTTGCCTGAAAAATCAAAAGGAAATAACAACAATCCACTCACACAGGACAAAACAGGATTCTAGGAGAGAATTCTAAGAGGTAAAGACAGTGTGATCACTGGTTTTACGACAGTGTGGCCAGGCGTCAGTACCCAGATAGTTAATCTAACACTAATCTAAGTATCACTGTGTAGTAAGTGGATCTCCTGTGGTCATTTGAGGGATTTAAGAGAAAAATGATAACTGGTCATAGTCACTTCTTCCTCTAATGTCAACACTTGGGAGGCAGAGGCAGGTGTATCTCTGTGAGTTTTAGGCCAGCCTAGTCTACTTAGTGAATTCTGGAAAGTCAGGGCTACATAGAGAGACCTCATATCAAAAAAAAAAAAAAAAAAAAAAAAAAAAAAAAAAAAAAAAAAAAAAAAAAAAAAAAAAAAAAAAAAAAAAAAAGAAAAAGAAAAGAAAGACAAAAAGATAAAAATGATGAGCTTCCCGCAAACAGAAGAAATTCTGTCTGATTTACTGAGATAGTGACCTTCTTCTACACCTTAGTGTCCCATGTTGCTGTTGGCACGTGAGTCCCTGCTCTTCCTCCTTTCATTAGGGATTCCACAGGACTTTGTCACGGAAGGATCGCAGCTTTCCAACACCTTTCCTTCCAGACTCTCTCAGGCCACATTATGCAGATGTCTCTTTCTCCAGCATGTTGGATTGACTGAAGATAGACAAGGTTTAAGATGTGGCTCAGTGGCTCACTTGCCTGGCATAATAAGGCTCTGTGTTCTCTCCAGCACTGCAGGAAAATAACTTAGGATTTGGCCCCAGAGTCCATTTCATTCTTCAAATGGCTTGTGAAATGATGTGGCATGGCGAGAGAACATCTGTATGGTTTCCACCAACAGAGAAGCATAAGGTCACATAGAACAGAGTGTGAGGAGCTGAGTCATAGGGATTTCAAAGGCGGGTGCTCAGCAGCCAGCCCACCTGCTGCCTCTTAGTTTGTGCTCAGCTCCCCCTGCAGTTTCTGCCGCTGTGTCTCTCAGAGCACAGTAGTACACAGCCGAGTCAGATTCTTGAACTGAGGCTTTCTCCAAGTGGAAGGAGCTGGATCCTTTATCATATGCGGCTTCAAATCCTCTGCTGCTTCCCTTTGCACCAGCTGTAATGACTTTCAGGAGGAACTGTAGGCTTTCTCCAGGATATTGAACATACCAGAAAAGAGCAGCAGACCCTATATTTGTGATTATATATGTGCAGTTTATTGTCAGGAACCCGCCTTCTGAGATGGTCAATTGATCTTCTGTTTGAGTCACAGAGTCTCCATGGGTCCTTCCTAGAGTGCAAGGAGAGGAGAGAGAGGGAGAATAAATTTTGTGTCACCCTGAGGATAATTCTCTTAGACAACGTACAGCTAAAGATTTTTGCCCTTTAAATCACTTTACTTACCAAATATGAGGAGTATTGCAGTCACAAAGCCTGGAGAAGTGTCCATCTTTAGTGTCATCTAGAAAATGGTCTTGATGTTTAGCATGAAGAATTGCTAGCTCAGAGAAAGGATGAGTCCCTTTCAGATACAAATCACACAGGAAATGAGCCTGCCTTAGGAAACTGCACCCCCTGGAGGACAGGAACTGAACTGAGAATGGGTGTTACCCTGTGCCTCCTCCTGATCTTAATAATAAGGTATATGTCAGTCTTTAGGCCTTTCTACATGTAAAGACAGCTATCCATCTTGCCTGTGCTGAATTTGCCTAAAGGTGAAACGGTCCTTCAGTGTTCCTGCTTTATGAAAGAGTCTACCAGACATTCTGCAGGACACAGAAGAAAATTACTGACAAACTGCCAATATGTCTTTGAAATTTCCTGTTTCATGGAAACATCTGACAGATACTATGGGTCTGTGGGCTGAGATGGATGCTGAAGCAATACAGAAGAACTTTGGGTGACTGTCCAGGCAGCGAGATTTCTCTGTCAATTATAGAGTTTGGGAACTTGCTTACAATGCACTTCCTGTTAACTTAGATAATATTATATCCAGCTGGGGCCTTTGATGTATTTGAAGAATAGTTTTAGTTCTCCTTAGTTATGATAAATGTTAAAGTAGATATAAATATTGTAACTATAATTCTTGCTACATAACTGTTTTGTTGTAAGTATTTTTACTATGTTAAAGTTAAAACCTTCCTTTTTATCTAGAGGGACCAGGGGAGGCAATGGCAGATTTTCCTCTGTATGCTGTGAATACCATTGTTTAATAAAGAAGCTGCTTTGGGCCTATTGCAGCACAGAATAGGGCAAGGCAGGAATTCCAAGCAGATAGAGAAGGAGAGAGTAGGTGGAGTCAAAGAGATGCCATGTAGCTGCCACTGGAGGAGACGGATGCCAGAACCTTGCCAGTAGGCTATGACCTGATGGTAATGCACAGATTAATAGAGATAGGTTGATTTAAGATATAAGAGCTAGCTAGAAATATGCTTAAGATATTGGCCAAACAGTATTGCAATTAATAAAGATTTTTTGTGACCATTTTGGGAGTCTGAGCAGCTGGGAAACGAACAAGCAGCCATAGTCTATAACCAATCTGAGTGCTGGAATTGGAAACATGTGCTACCACGAATGGATCTATACAGGGGCATGTATACAATCACTTGTCCACTTTGAGTTTCTCATCATGCTATCATAGAGTTCAAGAGAATAAAGTTAGAAAGAAAGAAATCAAAGTATCATTATTTGCAGATGATATGATTGTATAAAAAGCCACCAGGAAAATCCTTCCAGGGAATTCCTACAGTAGATAAACACCTTCAGTGATATGGCTGGTTACATAATTAACTCAAAAAATCAGTAGCCCTCCTATATAAAAAATGATAAATGGACTGAGAAAGAAAATAGAAAAACAACACCCATCACAATAGTGATAAACAATATAGAATATTTTGGGGTAACTCTTTCCAAGCAAGTGAAAGACATGTGACAAACACTTCAAATCGTTAAAGAAAGAAATTGAAGAAGATATCAGAAAAGATCTCCCATGCTCATGGATCAATAGAATTAACATAGTAAAAGTGGCCATCCTACTAAAAGCATTCTACAGATTTAACCCATATTCCATCAACATTCCCATACAATTCTGTACACTCCTTAAAAAGACAATGTTTAATTTCATATGGAAAAACAAAATCCTCAGGATAGCTACAATAATCCTTGACAATAAAGAACTTCAGGAGGTATCACCATCTCTGATTTTAAGCTGTAGTATATGGATATTGTAATTTTAAAACATCCCTGCAGGGTATTGGCTTAAAAACAGACATGTTAATCAGTGGAATTGAATCAAAAACCCAGACATCAATCCCCTAGCCCATGGACACCTAATATTTTTTATGAAGAAAAAAGAAATACACAATGGAAAAAAGCATCTTCATCAAATGGTGCTGCTCTAACTCCATGTCTACATATAGAATACAGATAAGCCCATATTTATAACCCTGCACAAAACTCAAGTCCAAGTAAATCAAGGACTTCATAAAATCAGACAAAATGAACCTCATAGAAGAGAAACTGGAGAATAGCCATGAATTTGTCAGAACTGGAGACAGTTTCCTAAACAGAAAACTAATAATGCAGTACTTAGATAGACAATTAATAAATGCAGCACCATGAAACTGAAAAGTATCTTTAAGACAAAGGATAGCATCAATAGGACAAAACAACAGCCTACAGAATGGAAAAACTTTTTTCTTTACCAAATTCACATCTGATCGAGGGCCAATAACCAAAATATATGAAGATCTCAAGAAAGTACACATCTATAAACCAAGCATTCCAATTAAAAATGGATACAGTCCTAAATATTAAACTCTCATTAGAGGAATCTGAAACAGATGAGAAACATTTAAAGAAATGTTCAGCATCCTTAGCCATCATGGAAGTGCAAATCAAAACTAATTTGAGATTCTATCTTATCCCTGTCATAATGGCTAGGATCAAAAATACAAATGACAGCTCATGCTCTTGAGGATGTGGAGCAAGGGGAACACATGGCAATTGATGATGGGAGTGCAAACTTGTAAACCCATTGTGGAATCAATATGGTGGTTATTCACAAAATTGCAAATAAATCTACTGAAGATGCAGCTATACCACCCTTGGGCATATACCCAAGAGATGCTCTATCCTACCATAAGGACACTTGCTCAGTTATGTTCATAGCAGCTTCATTCATGATAGCCAGAAAATGGAAGCAATCTTTTTTTCCTTCAACTGAAGAATAGATCAAGAAAATGTAATATGTTTACACGATGTGGTGTTAGTCATCTGTTAGAATAAAATGACATCATGAAATTTGAAGACAAATGTCTAGAATTAGAAAGAAAGCACCCTGAGAGAGGTAACCCAGACCCAGAAAGACAAACATGGAATGTACTCACATATAAGTGAATAATAACTGTTAAGTAAAGGACAATCATCCCACAATCCATAGATACAGAGAGGCTAACAAGGGAGACTCAAGGGGGGATTTGCAGGGATCACAAGGATTTCCCTGGGAAGGGGAAATTGAATAGATTTTGTGGACTGACTGGAGCACATAGGGGTGGGAGCAAAAAGGATCAGGTTGGGGAGAGAAGAACTGAGGGAGAGAGTGTTGAGAAAGGCAACTGGAGTAGTTGAACATTTAGAGAACAATATGAAAACCTAGTGCAGGAGAAACTTCCTGGAACCTACAATGGTGACTCTAGTGAGGACTATCCTAATACTGAAGGAGCTTGAACTGGCCTCTTCTGTAACCAGGCTAGGAGCTCACTGGTGGGACTTGGACTCCAAATCAGACAAAACATTCCACCCACAATCAGCCCAACCTGCAAGATTCTTTAGGGCATTGTTGGTTCAGAGCTTGTGGGAGTGACCAACCAATGACTGGTCTAACTTGAGGCCCACACCATCCATGAGAGGGAAACCATAATCATCACAGTCTAAATGGCCATGGCCCAAAAGCTCTATGGCTCAGTGACCTAGGTTAGAATCAAACAGAACTGACTAAAAATAAAGTCAATCAAATGATTTCTAAGAATATTCTGCTATACTTATAAGATCAGTGCATTACCCAGTCACCATCAGAGAGGCTTCCTCCAGTACCTGATGGGAGCAAATACAGAGATCCACAAACTTTAGGTGGAGAGCTCAAGAAACACTGCAGGAGGTGGGGGAGAGAGGATTGTAAGAATGTGAGTTGTTGAGGACACTAATAAAACACAACCTATGGAATCAACTATGCAGGATTCATAGGGAGTAACAGAGACTGAAGTGGTAACCACATAGTCTACATAGATCTGTGCTAGGTCCTCTGAGTATATGCTGTGGTTGTTTAGCTTGAGGTTTTTGTTGGACTCCTAACAATGAAAGGGGGTATCTCTGATTATGGACCTACTCATGGGATCCTTTTCCTTCTACTGTCTCACGTCATTCAGTCTTGATATGAAGGTTTATGCCTAGTCTTATTGTGTCTTGTTGTGCCATGTTCAATTGATAATTACTGGGAGGCCTGTTGTCTTCTGAAGGGAACCTGAAAAAGAGAAAATCTGAGGGGGAGGGGAAGTTGCAGGTACTGCAAAGTGGGGAGTGAGGAAAGGTTGTGGTCAACAAGTCCTGTGTGAGAGAATTCATTTAATAAAAATAATGATGTGCTTATACATTCTGTTTGACATAGCCTCAGCAGATACATGGTTTGGAAACATTTTCTTCAACTTTGAGATTGTCTTTTCACTTTATCAGTGGTGTACTTTAGAACATAAATATTTTAGAGCTATTACTATAGCTCAGTTGAGCATTTGTCTAGCATTCAGGGTACCTGAGTTTAATTTCTTGTCCTGAAAAAAGTTAAAAATAATTGTATTTCACTACAATGGGTAGCAACTATTTTATCTTCACTTTGTATTTTCTCTTCTTTGTTTCTTACCCCTTTGTTATTATAACTTGGAAAGATTTATTCAACTCATGCCATTACAATTTATCTCTATGCTTAAACATGTTTTACTTGGCATGGGGAGATGGCTCCATGGTTCAGAATACTTGCTTTTCTTGCAGAGAACCCAAGTTTGGTTCCCAGCAGTGAGCTGCCTGCAACATCAACTCTAGGGTATTTGAAGTCCTCTTCTGTCCTCTACAGACAGCTGCATTTACACACACACACACACACACACACACACACACACACACACACACACACACACACCATCCAAATAGAATATATTTTTAAAAAAAGGCTTCATGTAACTGGTTGTCACATTTTGAGTCTGGGATCCCTTTGGTCTTCTTGTAATACACTATAGAAAGAAGTAGTACTTTTTCCCATTGACAGGTAAATATTCATCCATTTCTCCCTAATTTTCTTAAAGGACTATGAATGTCTCTTTGGAATAGCTGTCTATACCACTCTATCTAATTTCTAGCCTATATTATATCACAAGTTCACCAGAGTCCAAGTTTCTTTCT